CACGGGACCAGACAGACACACCAAGATTGCAATTTCTAAGTTCTAATAATGTCATCATGGTCCTTTATAACCTCGTTACCTATAGTTTGAGCCAAACATATGAACACCGAAGGTGCCAACCACTGCCGAAACAGCAACAAAAAAAGATCAAGTGCTCCGATTTCCGAAATACATCTAAGGGAAACATTGAAACAGCAAACAAGCTTAACTACACACGCAAACATCTTTAAAAAAATTGTAGTGTACTGTGTTCGCCAATCAGCTGATCAGCTGTAAGCGATTCGAGTTCAAGAGAGGGGGAGTGCGGTGTGGAGTGTGGTGGTGGTGGACGTGTGGTGTGGTAGTGGTAGCGGTAAAGTGACGTCTGAACTTTTTGCCGGTTGTACAAATACTCGAGTAAAATGATTCCCGTTACCATTGTGCTGGAATGTGTGATCTGTGCTCATCTGAACTTCTCTGGATTTAATCTCGCAACTGCATTTGAGGTAAGTCACTTCAATTTCCATGCAAATGTTGGGATTCACGCCTGTACCATGGGCCTCCTAACCTCGCACCTAGTGCCAATCCATGTGTTAACATAGAGTTAATTGCATTTGGAGCTGTTCCTTTCATCGTGAATTTACTCTTTATTTATTTTCGAAGTGCCGCCGTGATAGGATCATACTTCTCGTGATGTTAATCGTGAGAAACACTTGTAAAGTAGAAGCCTAGCCTTGGCCTAGCCTTGGCCTAGCCTTGGCCTAGCCTTGGCCTAGCCTAGGCCTCTGCTGCCCTGGCCTTTTGTCATCACCTTAATGACCCTAGAGGAGAGCAAGAGATGAACTATCACGTCCTGGCAGTTTTAATGTTTACCATGTTCATTTTACTAGAAGTTTCATGTTTTTCATTTCTGTTTTTAGCCATGGCGAAGTTTGTTGTGAAGGGACTAACCGGTGACCGCTCCCAGAAAGTGTTTATTTGTGCGGGGGATTTGCTGGAATTAAGAGAAGAGATGAAAAGGAAACTGAAGCTTCCAGAAGGAGATTATAATGTGAGTACTGCTGTACTGTTTTCTTACAAATAGGTTAGGTTGAATATTTATTATTATGAGACTGCCCTTATTCATTTTCTTACTTAAACCCTAACATCATTTCAAAAATTCTTGTAGGTCTATCAAGCAAACGATGGCACCATGATTGATGATGTTGGTATATTTCAACTGCTGGCTCAGGAAGCTAAAGAAGCCAAGGTCCATCTAGAAGTCATGCTGCTCACGGACAGTGCTGATTGGACAGATGTTTCTCTGCGGAGCCCACACTCTCCCAATGACTACACCTCAGGGATCTGAGCCAAATAGAGGTTAGTAACCTCTTTAGTAACATTTGCACCTTTAACATGCTTGTTAAATGTTTAACTGTTGTAGTACTATTTGTTCTGTTTAATATTTATTTAATTTGTTGTAGATCGTACTGATAGTTTGGAAGAGAGTCTTACCTGTTCTTCTGAAAGCCAGACTTCAACACCGGTTGCCAGGCGTAGGCTCGCATTCCCTATCACAGATGTGTGTGAATTCTTGGACGAAGCTCTTGAGCGGTTGAATTCAAATAACCCCCCAAAGAATATGTTTGCCATTAAGAAGAGAGCTGTTCGTGAGGCCTGCCATGCCGTTGGTAGGCACATGTTAAAGAAACTTAAAGACTACAGGAAGGTGACAGCAAGAGCTTTGGCGCAACAAATTATTGATTATGATGGAGGCAGATACTCTAAACTTTTTCAAGTTGTTATCGGGAGTGCTGTGTCTGACCCTGGCTATAAATCTTTTACCCAGTGTATTTATGGTTATGTTAACCACAATAAGGGGCCAGAAAACAAGACTAGAAGGGGCTCACGCTCTTCTTCAAGAAGTGAAGAAGAAGAAGATGGAGATTTTGGTCTTTTGCCTCCGTCCCCATCCAAACAAGACCTGTACGGCTGTGTGGCTTATGAGGTGCCCCTACCTTTCGGAGAGACGACATCATCGCAAGAGGAGAAAAGACTTCAGGCTGTTGAGTTGGAAAACCGAGAAGATGTAGAAGCCGATACGCTGATGGCGGCAACCTATGCCACTCAGCGTCTTGATATAAACCGGGGTAAGCCCCTCAAAGTCTATCTTCCAACTGTAGTCAGGAGCTGGCCACTATTGCTTAGAAAGACGCATTTTATCAGACATGCTCAAACTTTGCTTGGTAAAGATGTTGAGGCTGTGTTCAACAACAATGTTGGTAATCATTGGAAAACTATCTTTGATTTCATCCATCAATATAGTGAAACAGAATCAAAGAAAGAAGTTGTACCTCAAACAATTACTTCAATGATGTCTCTTGTCACACAAGCACTGAGCCAGAGCCAGAGTAACAGGTCAATAGAAGCGAGATGTATATCAGAGCTCTGCAAAAGTCCCCTCACTGACCGACCGAGCTGACCGGCAGGCGGTCGGCACCGACCGCCTCCTCACCTCTCACCTGCACGCGGTCGGTGCCTACCGCCTGCCGGTCGAGCTCGGTCGGTCGACGAGGCGATTTTGCAGAGCTCTCATGTATATCAATGTTTCCGATGATTGCCCTATACCTTGATGAGAAGCTTGACAAATTATTTGCCCTTCTTCCTGTAAGTACATCACTTGTTCACATGCAAATCTGTGTTCCCAATGTTTTTACAATAACATTTGTTTTTTCATTATTAGGATACTGCTTCAGAAGAGGAAGTAGTTGCTGCTGGCTCCGATCTGAATGGATACCCCATATTGGTCATAAGAGGTGATGTATATCAGTTCATATTTTTAATTTATATTTTATCTTTTGTTTCCTAAACAGTAGTATGAAGTAATTTAAGCTTAATCTGGAGTTAAAATTTTTGTATTCACCACATTTTACTTTATTTTGGTACTAATTGTTTTTCTTTTACAGGCAAATCAATTTTTGAATTCACTTCCTGTGATGTTGTGTTGGTGGGTCAATTGAAGATAACAGCATCTAGCCCTCTGGAGGGATTCCTCATTTTAATTTTTTCTTACTTTGTCTTCACCTGCTTATATCAACCAGCAAATCACAGTTCCCTAGAATTCTACCAAAGGTTAGTACATTATTGTGTTTTATATGAGTTTGTTGTTACTTATTGTATTCCATTATTACAAGATTTTATTCCTATCTATGGTTTCCTTATAGATATTTCCTTGAAGTCAATCCCCCAGACGGTGACAAGAGGGCTGTAAAGAAGCGGTACATAGATGGGGTGGACTCCAAAGTGAAGAGACTTGCAAATCAATTGACCCACCATACGTGCCACTGGACATTAGGCACTAACTAAATAATTTTGAAACTGAATGTGTTTGACTATTGGCTCTGGCCATACTACTGTGATGCATGTGATCTTATTGCAATTTTTAACTAAATTTAAACTTATTGAACTAATTTCTTAAATCTAATTTCAATTTTTAACTGATTGTGTAAAATTGAAATTAACTATGAAATTTACTTGATTTTATGAATTTTCATCTTTAGCCTTTGGATATACTTTAAATGTATTCCAGTTTTGTTACTGTCAAAAACTTTACAGGCTTTAGTCTTTATCTTGTATCTGAATTGTAGCTTTGATTTTTCTCTTGTACTGGATTGCAATCAAGGTTAATAATTATTAATTGAATACTTAGTATTGGCTTTTATTGAACCTATCCATTAACTTTACATACATTCACTTTAATGTCTCATGGTACAGCAGTGCATAACATTGATCTTAACTTCTATATCAAACCGGACACAAATTTTACGATACCTGCACAATTTTTTGGACTGCCATGGATGCAAAACATCGAAACAATCATCACAAAATTTTGCAGTATTGGTATAATGCTTTGCACCATGGGGAGCGCAAAATTTTGTAACATTGGTATAGAGCTTTGCAGCGCAGAGGGTACAACATTTTGTAACATTAAACGATGCAAGATTTTGTTATGTAGATGCAAATACTTATAACCCAATGTTACAAAATTTTGTAACAAATTATGTTACAAAAATTTGTAATCTGGTTACTGAAAAAACTTCCCTT